TTTTATAGTTATTTAAAATGGATGCAATAGGAAATGTTACATTGATCTATCTTGGAACTAAAGTAGACTTCAAAACAGATTTTGAAAAATTTGAAATAATCGATTTGACTGTTTTTTTTTCATTTTTAGTATGATCTTCGTGTATTACCTGAACGTGCTGCAAAATATTTGCCAATTATGCCTGAAAAGAAACAAATTGATGTAGCATCAATTCTTATTTCACCTATGCCGGGTATTGTTAAATCTGTTAGTGTCAAAGTTGGACAACGAGTAGCTGATGGACAAGAAGTTTGTGTTGTTGAAGCAATGAAAATGCAAAACAAATTAACTGCTGGTCGAGCCGGAGTGGTTAGATGATTGTTTTCTTTTCTTTTGTTTTAAGAAAGAATTTTTCTATTTGTATGTTTTTTTTTTCTTTTAAGGTTAAATTCGTTGGCATTAAAGAAGGTGAAACAGTTGAAGATGGAAAAGTATTAATTGAATTAGAATAAACAAAACCCAAGCTCACTATTCCCACGCCGCTGTCATTCGTATAAACATTTACTCATTAAATTGATCTTTTTCCTAATATGCTTTTATTGTATTACTATTATTATATATTAGAGTATATTCATCGATGCATTTTTTTGACCTAATTTTGAAACAAATATGAAATAAAGTGAAGGCAATATATTTACTACACATGAACTTCGAAGATATTTTCATAATGGTAATTGTTAGAATAAATGAGAAAAACGATTTAGACACATGGAAGAGTTTTCTCTCAGGAGAAGTCATTATTTTTCTAGTTTCTATTATACTTTTGTGAAAAACCAAGATCCTGTAAGAGTAGTTTTCTGAAGTCATTTTGGAAACATTTTGATAGTAAACTCATCTCATAGCGAAACTATTTTTGAGCAAAATGAGAAGCTTATTAATTCTTTACAACTGCGCTATTATATTTACGGAAGAGCTCGAAGCATAAAAAATATAGGAAGTTCTTGAATAAGATAAAGGAAAAAACTATTCCCTCGCATTTCGATGAGAAAAGTCGCAAAGAGTTAGTTAATGAACTTATTTTTTGGATACATTTCCCAATGAATTCAGAAAATTGGTTTTGAAGTGTGTTGATCTTCCGGAGAGTCATTTTCTGCAAAATTTTACTAGAAACTAGAAAAATAATTACTTCTCCTGAGAGAAACTTTCTTCAGTTATGCGAAGCCTTTTTGTTAGATATTATCATTGGGATATTTGCTTCAAAATTCAAGTGTAATAAATCTTTTTGCCTCACTCTATCTTTGGACAGATATATGTCTGACCGTGATAGGCATTTTTCTTTTCTTTGTTAGTCAATTAAATGTCTTAGATAAATTCATATTATAGTCAAAAATAGTCTTTTTTAGTTTGTGTTTTATTTATATTGTCAGAGAAAATGTAGTCATTAATGCTCATTATTATTCTTATGTTTGCACTCCGCAATTATTTCACATTCAATATTAAAGACAATTTCCTCTGAAGAATTATTGTCATTAGTTCAATAAATTTAATCATTAAAAATAAAATAGAAAAAAATAGCGCATAAAAGAATATTTTGTTTGTCTTCATATGCATAAGGGATGTCACAGAAATTCTGAAATGGCTTTGAAATTGATCGTTCTCGCATTCAACAGATACAAAATCTTTGAAACTTTGACCGATTATTGTACCTACTTCGTAGTAAATAACTACAGATGTGAGATGAATAGCTTATGCTATGGACGATACTCTGATAATACCATCATGTACTATCTTGTCGATTTGCCCCATCATTTTGGTTATTATTTTCAAAACAATACAACTTTTCGAAGAAAAAGAAACACATATCAAGTTATCAATGTTCGTATGGTTGATTATCATCATAACCTTCTAGGAATTTTATATGTCATTTATTGACAAAAAAGGTTACTCAATTTCCTCCATTGGTTTTTAATGTTGCTTTTCAATTGCTCAGTATTATTTTATTCTCACCTTTGTTATTTTTTCTTGTATTTCATCTCAGACGTTTCTGATAGATCAAGCGTCAGCTAGTTTTACAGAGGTGTGGGTAGTTGTGTGTGTATTTTTGGTCCACATCCACACCCATACCTGAATTGGGCGATTTAGTTAAAGCTCGACTTGATCTCTCACTGCGACCAATTCGCTGATCGATCATAATCATTGAATAATCGAATAAAAATACCGTTTTGATCAATGCCAAGATGAGTATTGAGATGATGTGGTCGGCTTCGAATCATTCTGAAATAAACTATTTATTGAATAATTTAGTTGGAGTTTTTCCTTATATTTTTAATGAAACGATTCATATAGGTCTAAAGAGTGGCATAAGAAAGGCCGAAATAAAAAACGTTCAACAGTAGAAATGTCGAAAAAAAACGTCAAATACTATAAACCGAAAAAAAATATCGAATAATACTTACATTGAAAAAAAATGTCGAAAATGTTAGCATACGATGAGTTTGATTATCCAAATGTAGATAAGGATGTAGGACAGAGCCGGTCGGGTTGATCCCGAGTCCTTACATGCGTCCGCAAACTTTGGCGTCGATGGACTCTACACTACACATTTCTCAGACGACTTGTCTGAGAAATGTGTAGGATGCACTAGTCACCAAATACAAAAAATTGACATAAATTATTTTTTATCTTCAGGGCGATTATCCTACTCTGATTAAAAAGTTTCATTCGACGTATCAAAGTAGGATCCAATTGGGACCAGGTCCGAAAATTTTGAACCCGATGAGCTCTCGTATGGAATGTGGATGTGGGTGAGTAAATGGATGAATAGCGCATGTGTGCTCACACCCCACATCCACACCGTTTTCGAACGCATTACACGAAAAGTAGATGTGAAATGAAAATGACTGTAGCGAGAAGTAGTTGCGCTCTCTTTCCAACTTCGATGATGTTAATCTTAATGAAGAGTTACAAAACGAGAGAAAGGAAGTAATTAAGTAATTATTATTTTTTCTTTCTTCTAAGGAAATTTTTCGTCATCTTTTCATTTTTAGTTGTAATTATTTGTCTAAAATGTGTAATTATTTGTGTTCTTTTTCGACAGCTATTTCATTCCAAAATGTTTTGACTTTTACTCAACAGAGCGATAGATATATCTTGCTGTTATTTTTCGCTCTAATAGCACTGCTTAATTATTCTCTTGTGAGTGAATAGTGTTCGTTATAAAAAAAAAAAAGAAATATCACAAAGGTAAACGGTCAATCTTTACCCTAAAAAACCAACGTATAACTATTTTTGACACAAACATCACTCTCTATATGCCAATAAAAGTCGAAGTTCATTTCTGTATGTAACAGTTCTATTATCAGAGGGATGTTTAAGTAATAACAATACTCTGTGATATATCTGTACATAACAAAATACTTTTCGAAGGGCAAAATTTATAACACAAAGATCGAGACCGATATAAAGCAAGATCTAAATCAAGATTGGGCGAACTGAGACTGGGAAACATGAGTTTCACCGTATTAACTTTCGTAGTTGACTTTCAACAATCGCCTATAGTTTGGATTATGTCGTAAATCCATCAAATAACTATGGTTGCAAAACAGCACTTGGGGCAATATTCTTTCTGGATTAGTCAGCGTTTTTGTTATGAAAGCATGGTAACTAACGAGGGAACATTCCCAAGTGATACGCACCATTTGGGTTCATATTGTGCTCATAAGTAGGACCCAATAAGACTAGAAAAAGCCTAAAAGAGTTCGTGCCATTAGGCCTTTCTTTCAAAGTTATGACCGTTTTAGTGAATTTTCGACCTTGGGCAAGGAATTTATAGAAAAACTGAATGAAGGAATTTCGAATTGAAATTTTGCCTAACAACAGGTCTCATCGATGTTAGAAGTTTCCAAAAGTTTCGGCTAAAACGGATGCGCCCTTCTCGAGATATGGCATATTAGTGAAAACTGCGATTTTTCAAAAATTATCTTGAAATTGATTTCTCTTCTATGTGCAATATCTCGAGAAGGGCGCATCNCATTTTGAAATTTTACAAAAATTTTTTTTCACATGTAGCAAAAAGTAAATTCTAAAAACCAGGAGACTACTAACAGCAAAAATAAATTCTGGGGGATCAGGAAAATGCTAATTTTTTTCGCAAACTCCGAATGCAAATTTCTTTTGATAAAATTCCATCATTTGGATTCAACATCACTCTCCATAAGTTTCATCTGGGTCCCATGCTCGAAAGTCGAGATTCAACATACTGAGAAATCCTGGATGCGTCACTGCGCTCTACTTTTATTTTCCCATATGAGTTTGCAGCGACCTTATTAATATGTGTTTTTTACCTAAAAAAACGTACTTTTTTTCGATCAAAGTACTGATTATTTTATATCTGAATGGTTAGAAAGAACACAACCCACCCGAAATAAAAAGAATCGATCTTTAATTATGGAGGGAAATTTTTGTTTATATACCTATCCGTGGTCCTACTTTATAAAACATGAAAAGAAATTTCAAAATGAGAGAAAGTACTGTGTTTGAATTAAATTTTTATTAACACTTCCATTATTATCTGATACGTGGCGCTATCTATTGTAAAAATTTGTCAATAGACTCTCAGTTAGCCAAAAGAATAGATTTCTTCACTATCAGTGATTGGTGGCTGTCATTTAAACAAACATAATATTTATTTTTCATCAATACGAGCTGATTTGCACTCGATACAGACAAAGAGCAATAAATTGAAGAGTCACTTTCTAAATAGTATCAAATAATATGATAGAGAAAGATTGATTAGTTTTGTTTTCTTTTTCTTTTTTATTTCAGATTATTTTACAATATGAAACAACAACAGTAGTCACATTATCTACTTCAAACTCATTTTATTTTCATTCCACTTCTCCTCGTTCTCATACGGAGCAAAAGATATATTTATACTTGTCCTTTTTTTTTTTAAAATAAATATTTTAGTACGTATATACATTTCTTAATATAAAAGAGTTTTGACATTTCTATAATAGATAATGGATGGCGCTGGTGGTAATCCAAGTGGTGGAAGCGGTGGTTTCGATCCATGTGAATGCGTTGTAAGATGATTTTATAAAAATAATTAGTTTTCTATTTTGTATGAATTAGAATATGCTTCAAATGAACCACGAACATGCTATGAATCGTTTGACTAATATCCTTCGCAATGCACAGACAACATGTACTGATACTGAATGTTTTACTGGTCCATGTAAGAATTAAGAAACCTCAATTGTTTTTTTTATAGTCTAAAAAAATTGTTTTTGATAAATGTTTAGTACCGGGTCAACCGAATACCGGTGGTAATACAGGGATGTCTAATATGTATTTAATCATAGCTATATGGCTTGCTCTTGCATTTTTACTTTTCATATTTCGTCCACGTACACTTCGAAACAATCGTGATCATCCGGGCAAACCAAATAATCAAGTAAATAGAACCTTAAATACAGGTGTAAGCGAATACATTTATCGGTGGTGGCTTACATCTATAAATCTCAAATATATTTTTTTCTAAATTCATTTTTCTTTATTTTAGGGTCCACATCGTGACAATCAAGATCCACCAGGACCAGAAGTATATTAGAATAGGCAATTCGAAATAAATCAATATGTTTCGCAGGATCTTTTTCTTACAGTCGACCTAGTACAATATTATTTTCATTTTATAATTAATGAATTAATCCCAGTTATTTCTTTGTTTTTGCTCATTTTATCATGCCTATCATAATTACTTTTTTTTATGTTTAACTTTTAATCTCCATCATCATTTTTTCAAAAATTTGTATCTTCAAGCAATAGATTATGTTTTTCTGCGCATTAATGTATATATATATTTATTTACTAACCAAACAATAAAATGGGAATTCATAGAAAAAAGACTGATCAATAACGTTTTATGTACTATTCATACATATATATAGGTTCTTTTCCCATTTATATAATGACATTTTTTCTTCATAAATGAACAGTGGTTGTATAGATGAAGATTTATTAAATATCATTTCTTTTTCTTTTTTTTGTGTCGACTAAATAAATCATCATCTATATTAATATTTATCTATGATGAATGAGAATAATCAATCGTTAGTCAAAAATTGACATTCGTATGAGAGAAAAATACAGAATGGTGGTGTTGATTTTGCGTAATCACTAGATCCATTATCGAGCATTCCAACAACGATGCAGATGCTTATACACATATATATATATATATATGGATTTCCTTATTTAGAAATATATATACATGCTGTTTGCTGTCCTTGCTAGTAGATTTTTCTTCAGTGCAGATGTACAGAAGAATGAATAATCCGTCGTTTTTTTTCTCTTTTCTTTTGGTCATTATCGTCGTCGAGAAAAGAACGTACAATCTTTTTTTGTCCATATCATTCTTTCTTATATGTACTATTTTGTTGTTTTCTGGTTGATGTAACTAGACAAGGCAGAGGAAAAAATGCGCCTACTTCTGCATTTTTTTCCTCTTGCCAACATTTGTTCGATATCATAAGTTGTCTACGTCATTATTGTAAGCAGAAAAAAAAAATAGCGACAGATAGTGACGAGATTGCCAAGTGTTGTCACTTTTCCCGTAACAAAATAGATATACAATTCGTTCGAGCTATTTATTCATTGGTATTATTTAGTACAATTTGAAATATACTTCTTTCGACCAAATCAAGATAATACTAGTAGTAACTTGTACTATTGATAAGATTTTTGGTAGGTCATCGATTTTAAAAAAAGAATTCAAAAGGATTAATAATTCCTTATCATATTTATGGCCTTGACTTGTTATAAAATAGAGAAAGTATCGAACCATTAGTGTCACGATTGCTGAGATGACATTATATTCCATATGGTTATTCTACACATAACTTTCATTCTTCCTAAAGTAAACATGTTCCAGGATGTATTTCCATTCTTTTTCTTATTCGATTACTCAAGATTCATAATTTGCTTAGATGTAGAACAAATTATCCGTGTCGTTCTTTCTTTTCTTACATGGCATGAAGAACATATAAAAAAATGAGTGAGTTCCAATGAATAGAAACGATGAAAAAAATCAAAACAAATCGATTTCGCACGTGTTCGTTTCAAATCTCATCACATACACAAAGTGCATGGCTGCATGTTCGAGTACATTGATTTAGATAAATAGAAATTCTTTTTCTAATAGGTATTTTGGTTTTAGTTTGATTACAAACAATAATGAGCGGAAGAAACGGTCAGTAAGATAATTTTAATAAACTATTTATATTTTTGTTTTTTTTCAATTTAGTTCGAGGTATGAAGAAAAATACATTTATCGTAAGTAGATAAAATATAGGATTGCGTATTTTAGGAGGTCGTGCCGGTGCTGCTGCTGCTGCTAGTAGTTCAAAAGCAGCTTTTGCTATGTTTCAACAAAAAGATATTGCTGCTGGTGGAACAGGAAAAGTTAGCAGGTATTTTAAAAATAAACGAAAAATTATAAACAAAACTTTATATTAATAATTCATATTTAGTGAGCAAGGTACTGGCGCACCAACAAATCCGTCAAGTATAAAAGATCGTCTTCTTGTATGGTGTCAACAAAGTATTAAAGGTTATAAAGTAGGTTTCCATTTAATATATATAGATATATAATATAAATTATTTTCTTTTCAATCGTATTTTGTAAAGCATGTTAATGTAACAAATTTTTCATCATCATGGGCTGATGGTATGGCTTTTTGCGCTCTTATACATCATTATTTACCTAATTCAATTGATTATGATTCTCTTAATCCAAAAGATAGAAGGAAAAATTTTGAAATAGCTTTTAAAGCAGCTGAGTAAGTTTTATTTAAATAAGAAAACAAAAACAAAGATTTTTCTATAATAGAAACAATGGATGTTCACCATTACTTGAAGTCAATGATATGATTGAAATGGGTGATAAACCTGATTGGAAATGTGTGTTTACATATATACAATCACTTTATAAACATTTTGTTATGATGCCTCAAGCAATGGCAGCTAGAGCGGCCGAACAAACCGCTGGTCATTAACCTAGAAAAAGCTAAACTAATAAAAAACTTAAAAAAGTTCTTTTTCGTTTTTTTAAAATTTTGTATGATATTCATTCGTTTTTCTTTTCTAATCAGCTAGTCATTCTATTTAACTGCAAGTAAAATAAAAGACATCATTAGACATAAGAGCTATGTCATCTATTTTTCGTTAAAATCAATGATTGACCGCACTTCGAAAGAAAGAACCGTCCGTTTTTTTATTGAATTGGTATTGTCTGTCTTAAAAATGCCGATTTCGACGAAAACAAATATCAATTTTAATATAGCAGAGTGTATTTTGTTAGATGATCTTGCAATTTATTATTTCTGACTAACAATTATTCTTTTGTTGTAAAATGTTCTGAAAAATCAACTTCGCTGTTGACCAAACGGTATTAATCGGCGGCTTTTTCGTGACATGTATGATTATTTTGTAAAATTTTAACAACAGTATTAATAACATCATGAATACCTTGATTTATTTAAACACATGTTTCAATGATATAACTACCATCTGATATTCAGTTTTATTTGGCATGATAATAATTGATATAGATATTGATTGATTAGAAAATAATAAATCAATTGAACTTTGAAAATGCTTGATTTTTGCAAAATTTCTTTGATCATGTATTGATAATATAATTAAACAAGTTGTTGGAAAATTATCAAGCGAAGGAATATTGACGAATGCCAATGCATATTCATTTTTTACTAACAGCTAAATCACCTACGATTGAAATTCTAGAAAATAACTGTGATGATGTATGTAAGTCTCGCTCTGACATAATGTGTTAGAAAAAAAAAACTTATTTTTGTTTTCTTGTTATCATCACGCTGTTAAAGTAATGAAATACAACAAATAATTATGTTTTTTGTTCGTTTTCATGTTATTTTTGCTTGAATATACCTATCGAACGAACAAGTAATTTACCAGAGGAAAAAGAAATATTGAATACTAAATAAACATGCTGTGCTTAACTATTGAATTATCATTGGCTTCAGCAACAAATCAATCGAACTTAAACATATAGAGTTTTCAAAAATAACTTGTTTCTTATTCAAATAAATGATTATTCAAAATCTCTTTCTGTTATCTGACTATTTATTATATTAAGAAACAGACATATAAAAATATAGATATCAATAGATGACAGATACAATATAAAGCTTTTCTTACTGTAAAATAGATTTCATAGATCATTTGACATCCGTTTTAATTCATTTTGCAACGTATAGAAATGAAGAATACACATTATTGGTTTGTTCTAAGACAAAAATGCATTCAACATTAGCATTTCTTTTTTTGTTCTTTTTTGTATTATCTTTTATATGGGTGCAAATAGATGTAGTGCAAAATTTAGTGAACATCTTATTATAACTGTATAACAAATCATAAAACAGATGTTGAATAATGCAAGCATTGATAAATTTGTCTGTGAAAAATTTTATTTTCTACTGCGTGAAGTTAAGTTTAACACTTTATCAGACTTGTGATAGTCTAAGTTGTTTATTATTCTTCATCATTTTGTTTTTGATATCAATAACCATCTTCGGTATTTCTAACACAATCAAAAGAACGTAAATATCATCGAATAACATGAAATACATTCTTGATAGAATGCTCAAATTAAATAAATTCAAACAAATGTGAAAATTTATTAATTTTGCTTCGAAATAAAAACGTGTAGAATTCTGCTTTTCAAATATCTCTCGAGAAAACCACATCGGCTTTTCTATTCGTTAGTGTCAATTCTACCAGTTACATGATTTCCTTCTTTAGCTTTTATTAGAATATTGTTTTACCTGACTAACATTAGCTGGTTTTTTCAAAGTACATTTCGTCACTGCATATGTTAGTAAGTGAACGCCTCTTGAACAATTGTTGATACTCAAACATTAGAAGCTGCTAATAGCTGATTATCTATCGACGAACGCAATGATATGATATTTGAATTAGGGACAGATTGATTATATCAAATAGCAAATATAACAGGCTCCATACTTTAATAAAAGACATTAATATTCTATAGATATATAAGTCCATGATTATTACATAATTGTTAAATTTGAAAAAAATCGTTAATATATTTATGTTATAAGCAACTTTCAGTATGATTTCTATATTGATAGGTTATGAAAATTTTTATTCTCGAAGCTCTCTTTTGCTGTTGTCATTAGTAAATCACGATCATAATTTTCAATTTCAATTTATTTCGAGTGGTTGTATTGTTAAAAATAGCAGTCGAAAGGTTATGTATTCCTTGAACACATAAACGTATATATATTCGAAACGAACAGCTTCGCATCAAATAAATATCCAAAATAAAAAAGAAAATAAATTGAAAACTATCGAATACTAGTACTGTTAATGAGAAAAACTTTATCATCTATATTTTTAAAAGAATGTGAGCGTCTCAGATAAGAAGTAATAGAGCAATAAACCTTATTCGCCGCGCCTCATCAGAAAGAAACTGTGTAATCACACTAGTAACTTTCTCATACATTTCAAACATTATCACCCATATATTTGATGTAAATGAAAGAGTAAATCACAAAACAGTAATAAATACAAGTTTGAAACCTTAAATTTTTGATAGATTTAGCCTATTAAAATGAATTTATTTCAGATTATAATCAATGAAACTTCATAGACCATTATCACATGTAAAACAAAGTGATCATAATATGCCGACAATTTCTCAGAAGACAATGGATACTAAATTTATTGTAGTACTTTTTTGTGTTGAAACTGGAGCTTGGGGTTTTAATAGTATTCATGTAAAAGCTCCTGAAATTCATATTTATAATTCATAATTCATATAATCAAAAACCAATTCTTTATAATCAATCATCACAAATTTATTTGTGTTTTCTAACAATAAATCATTGTATTTATGAACATAAACAATTACGTTTTCTTAAAGTTATACATTTAATATTTGTTTCAATAATTGCTGTTTGTTATTTTAGTTTATTTATTATTATGCTTCGTAAATGAGAAAATGCTAAAGTACAAAATGATTTAGATATAACATGGTATAGTGCAATAAAATTATTAGTTTTATTAACACTTGCATTGCATACACTTTTAATGGTTATTATCTATGAACGTGATTATATAAATATAAAACATTGTAATGAAAACAGTCGTTTAATACGTGGAGAAAATCTTTTTACTTATGTTGTTCTTAGTATGTTTGAAATAGCTTATATTGGTTTTGATATATGAAATCGACAAATATCTATACATGCTTTACAACAAAAGTTTGAATATCGAGCGCGACAAGCTGAACATATAGCACCATCGGAAGACTCGACTCTTATTACAAAACAAAATTTATCACCAGCTGAAAGTTTTGAAACTGTTAATCAAGAATTTATAAAAGAGTTTATTTAATTGTAAAATGTTTTATTTTTTGATGATTTTAATTTATGAAATTATATTTTTTTAATAGATAATAATAAATCAATATTTGCATATTTTTTTTTCGAACTTTAAATATATAGATAACAAGAAAATGATACTAATAGCATGATTGGGTATATGAAAATAATTTCTAGAATAAGATAGGGAAAAACAATTCTAATATACTGTGTTCTGAAACTATTAACTAGACTGTTGCAAGAAAAAAAATACGAGGTGAAAAACTCAAACTTGAATATTCTTACTAGTGAACCATCCTAAGTAGTACTTCGTGCTAGAGATGAAACATCATCACTCACTATATGCGGTATGTTGAGACTAGAAAAAGTTTAGGAGGGTTTCTCCCCATGCGCTGTCCTTCTGAAGTTTATAGCCGTCTCACTGGATTGTTTATCCTTCGTATGATACTTATCAAAAAGTCAAACAAAGGAATTTGAACCTGAAACTCAAATTTTCTTCAATTTATTTCAGATGAATTACTATTTGAAAAGAAAAATGTTAATCTAGTTTACGTAAAAGAACCCATTATTGATTCTTGAAAAGATAGATTTACATACGTTTATGGAACTGATATTGCAATGATTGATAATCCTTTGAAAGATTTGCCTTCATGTTTTGTCATATCTAGTACATAATATTCTTTAGCAGATGTAAATGATTCAGATTTGACTTTTATGTAAGCCATCATTAATTAATGATAACGGTCTTATATCTGAATTCTTCGAATTGGTATTTGTTATAAAATAGACTTGAAACTCAATACAGAACTTTGAGAAATAGTCGATTCTATGAACAGTCAATGAAGAAAATTGTTTCTTCAGATCATATTGCAGCTAAACAGAATCTGTTCTCATCGATGACAAGTGCTACCCAAATGTTTTCAATGGTAACAACTACGTCAAGAAATCTCAATACTAAACATGTTTAATCCTTGATTCGACGACCGCACAGATTTTAGTTAGCATCTCGGAGACATATTTGAAAAGTTTCTATTGTTAGTTGTTCAAAACTGAACTAAAACGATATGTACTTGAAGATTCGTTCTCTGATAAGCAAATAGGCCATATCTCATATAAGAACAGTATATGGTAATCAATGTTCTTTTTTATCGCCAATACAATATCAGTATCTTGTGTCGTTCTAAAATAAGAACGATACATTCAGAACACGCTGTCTGTATCTTTTTTGATTCTAGAATACTCTAATTTTTTCTCAGTTACTTGAGGAGGAAAGGAAAAATTTTTGTAAGAATTATGTTTATTCTTGACTATGAAGAACAATCAAGATAAGTTAATTCTTTTAACTGAAATAGAACGATATTTTTGAAGAGTTAGGAATTCTCTTCAAAATAGTCGGCGTATACATCCTTAACCATTCTATTCAACAAAAAAACATAATAATCGGAATTTAAAAATGCTTAGAAACTGTTATTGATCTTCCTCTTCTGTAATCTCCAGTATTTAGTAGACGCATAATATCCTTACCGGAACTCATGAATAGATCTGAGAGAAGAATACAAATGTGATTCCAGAGGAGACACCCACACCCTCAGACAGGATTAAAATAAAAAAACAACCTTCAAGATAGATTCACAGTAACTAAAGCCATTGTTCAAATACTATTAAAAGCCGACTGCACAAAAAGGTTCTAGTTCACTTAGTTATGGATGAAATCCTCCTAGTTTCACCCCTATTTAAAATGGAGGTGTATGTACATGCATATGGTATAACTATAGTTGTAGTCCTCTTTATTGCAGTCTTTTTTAAATAGGAACATGTATATATATACTATATATGAAGTGCTTGTGATCACTATTCAATTGCCAGTATGAATATTCATAAATACATAGAATTGATGTAGTTTTAGTATTTTTTCTATCGATATAATTGTAAATGGAGACGGCGATGTGAGTGCAGCAATAGTGTTGGGTTACAGCTGCTATGAATAAGTTAAAGGAGTCGAATCGTTATTGTGAATGCAGTTCCATAGATTTGTGTAAAAGAGTCTCCTATTTCTGGTTGCCCTAGTCCTCCTTGCTGCGGCATAAGTGACGGTGACTTTTTTCTTTTGAGCTTCAGTTTGAAATAAAAAAGACTATAGACTCGAAATTTCTGTCATGTACATGATAAATTTTTGTATGATTCGCACATAGTTCCTTGTATTTTTTTATTTTTAAAAGAATTCAAAATATTCAGCAAGTAAATAACTGAAGTCAATAATCATGAAAAGATGCAACTGTACAAAAGTAAAAGAATAATGCGAATACAATTTTTTTTTCTTCATGCGATTCAAATATATTATCTTAATATGCACTTCGTCCCTCTACTATACCTATTCATTCACTTATAACTCCGATAGAATATCAAATCGAACAAAGTCACTTATAATCTAATGATAGCTCTCTTTTGTGCTTGTGTTGTTAGTTGTTTAGAGATTTCCCTGAAAAATTAGAAGGATACTTATGTACCTACTGAGACAAGTGACATTCATCTACTAGTTGATTTGTTTTCAAAATCTTCATGATGACACTCCTTAACTTGATACAATATTTGTTCTGTATTCTTATGTTATATGGGATCAGAGTAAACTATTTCCGGCTATTCTGTCTCTGCGAGGCAAAACTATTCATTGCACCTTCGAAGATTCTTTATCGGTTTTCTCTCGGATATGTAAAGTCAGACAAGTTGTTTCTAGATATTCTCTATTCGATATTATCTCAATTTTCCGGCCTATATTTTTTAAAATTCAAGATCTTGTATTGCAAATATATTTGTAACACAATTTCATAAGATTCCACAAAATATACTCTGCAAGAAATTCTCTATTTACATTTTCTCTTTCAAAAATGGATTATTTTTCGACCTATGTTTATATTTTTCACATGAAGTGAAACCATCATTTAACTATGAAACCGTATCTTTCGCGATCATCAGTAAGAAACAGCTCGCTTTCTCGTGCTAGACTCATGTTATCACTATTTTATGTGACTGAAATTCTTTTTGAATAAATTATTATGAATGGAGATTTCGTATGGCAGTTCGTTCTTCTTTTTATTCAGCATCACGAAATAGGATTGGGTTTGATACGATACACATGTCTTTTTGTTGACCCATATTTTGATTAGATTTGTCTTCTTTGATATGTTGATAGCCAATATTGTGCACTTGCATACTCTTCTCTTCAACACGGCACATTATCTCACTAAAAAACATGTCACCAACCTTGTAATACAAATTCAAGCTCATATAATATTCGTTTAATAGTAAGCTCGAAAATCTCTGTGTATTCGTGTGCTACGCGCATTTTGGTGTAAGATGTCGGACATTCAAAAGTCAAGTAGGCTTCAAAAAATAATTTATATTTATATCCAGATCAATAGACTTCATTAGATTGAGTGAGACTAACATGAATGCACATGTTTGAAAGTCATTTTTCTGGTGGATTAACTTTAATTCTATAAAAAAACAAATGTTACTTGAAACAAATGGCATCAGTTCAATGTTTTGCTATGAACTATTTATATGTAAAAAGAGTACCAGATTATATGGCAATTTTTTTTAAATATTTTGCATACTGATCTAGTTCTTTCGACAACCTATGCATCGATTTCGTAGAAATGTTATACTCTTGTCGAGAATTAAAATTATTGTTGGTAATGGAATGGCTGAAACTAAAAAAATGCTAGCATTTAAAATCAATGTTTGAAACCAAATCGAACGATGGATTTCTATTATTTTGCATAATATGTTTTCGATTGAAAATATTCTGCGGAAAGATATAAATTAGATTCTGAAGAAACAGTAGAATTCTACACTGTGATTGAGGAATTTCGATCTTGTTTCATTAGAACAAAGACTGTTCTTTATTTGAAGAATTATTTAAAATAATAGAAGACAAAATTTCTATGCATCAAAATTCAACAATCAAACAGAGTCAAAATCGTATTCGAATGAACGTGGGTAAAGTTCGCACCAGATTCGAGTTTTTGCTGTCCGGATTCGTTCGTGTACTTGAGTTATATTTCGTTCAACTTGAGTTAGGTGCAGAATTTTACGGCGAATCCGATGGTGTAATGATCAAGGGGAGGTCATCGAGCAAAAACTAGCACTTGACCCCGAAGTACTGAATTTTTCAAAATTTTTTGAAAAGTATTTGCTGTTCGGATTCGTTATTTTACTTGAGTTGGGTCTAAAAACGGTTGAGTTGGATTCAGCGTGAAATTCTGCATCGAATGATATCGGTTTAGTATGGGGTCATCGAGCAAAAATTTTTCACCTCACCCAGCCACATCCCCTCATGGTGACCCTCACCCTCACCCATATGAAAAATTTTTTCCCGATGACCCCATACTAAATCGATATCATTCGATGCAGAATTTCATGCTGAATCCAACTCAACCGTTTTTAGACCCAACTCAAGTAAAATAACGAATCCGAACAGCAAATACTTTTCAAAAAATTTTGTAAAATTCAGTATTTCGGGGTCAAGTGCTAGTTTTTGCTCGATGACCTCCCCTTGATCATTACACCATCGGATTCGCCGTAAAATTCTGCACCTAACTCNCTTTATTTATATCTAAGGCATGCTTGAGTACAGCTGATGATAAATAATCAGTCAGAGAGAATCAAGCAAACAATCGAATGTATTTATTAGTAAATTGTAGAAATGATTATTCATTTTTTATAAGATTCAAATTTTCGAAGTTTCGCACCATATTTCGCAGCTGAGTATCATCTCGTTTTTTATGCAATCTGGCTTTCGGGAAAACAGTCATTTAACCGATTTAAAATCGACATTGTTGTGAGTCGAGAATATTTTCAAATTTTTCGATGTTCACGGGTTGACCCGTTTTGACCCGACCCGGCTAACCCGTCAACCCAACCCGTAGCCCGTACCCGGGTTAGACCTATGACGGGTCACGGGTTTGCGGATTAGATATTTGCACGGGTTTACGGGCTCACGGGTCGGGTTTA